AGGCACACATACGAAAGTAGAAGAATCATCGAGTAACCGTTGTGCTTGTTATCTGTTAAATAATATCTCTCTTTCTAAATCAGCAAAAAGCATAAAAAGACAATTTAATCAACATTGAAAACAATCATCATCTAAATACAAAATATAAATAAAGAATTAAGCATGTTTGCGGTCTCACGTACCAGTTGACCATCCACATTTATAAATGAGTTCATCTATCGATGTGGGATTTTTTAATTGATACAAATGATAACTTTGTGGCGATTGTTTGAATATAGCCAATTGTACTTGAAATTTGCTCTGAAATGAAATATACGGCAGGTTGAAATAGAGGGTAACAATACCAAGAAAAAAACAACATACAAGTAAGGACAAACGTCTTATGCACATAATGGAAGTGTATTATGTGAGTGAACTGTTTTCTTCTATTTTTATTCTGAACACTGCGTATCACATTACTCGTTCTTTTTATTTCAAACTATTCTCTATATCTCTCTGCCAAAAGGAATCGTTTCGTCTACGAACACTCGTTTCGTCTACGAACACTCGTTTCGTCTACGAACACTCGTTTCGTCTACGAACACTCGTTTCGTCTACGAACACTCGTTTCGTCTACGAACACTCGTTTCGTCTACGAACACTCGTTTCGTCTACGAACACTCNCACTCGTTTCGTCTACGAACACTCGTTTCGTCTACGAACACTCGTTTCGTCTACGAACACTCGTTTCGTCTACGAACACTCGTTTCGTCTACGAACACTTCTCCCAATCATCAAACATTTTCGAACGTGTATATCATCTATGTTCAAACAAATGAACGCAATAGCACCGATTACAACATCAAGAAAATATTTCAGCTTCCTCAATGAATAATAATATCGAAAATTTATGTAAATGGTACCTAGGTTCAAGAAATTACTCAAAATGTTTACATTTAGGTATGTTTCATGATGATTTTATTTTGTTGCTATAACTTTTTACGTATTTTTATTTAGATAGTGGTCTCTGTAATATATTAGACCTTTATTGCATTAAAGAACGAACAATTCAAGATATCATTGCTGAACAAAACATCGATTCAATTCGTATTCTAGAATCTCCTGAACTATTACCAATTAAAATATCTGAATTATTCATAAAAGAAAATAATTATATAATTCCAAATGATGTTATTGATGTTCGATCATTAATGAGTAATTATGAGCATGCACACTGGTTTAAATTATAAGCCATTTTATGTACGCACAACAAATATGATATTTTATTTTATAAATGTCCAAAAACAAAACAATGATATTATTATCAATCAATAACGAAAGAATTGGCAAAATTAGAAGATAAAAAATTCACTCGATTATGTACACATACATGTGCAAACGATGTTGAATCTTTGGGTATTCTTCTGAATAGATGGTACTCTAGTAGGTAAAGAGCTTAAAACATTCGTTTATTGACGGTGAGCGTAAATGACATCAGTTTCTTGTTAACATACACAATGAGGAGAATTAACAATTGAGTAGAGCCAACAGAAAATGGAAGGAAAATGATGAGGTTATAAATGAACTAGTAATTTTATTTTCTCATCGCTGTTTGATTTAAATTTATTCCTTGTTCTAGGCTATACCGATGGTATTTGTCTAATAGATAATGCCAAATATTTTGATTGTAAACGTCAAACAGGTTTTTATATTATGCGTACAGTGTTAGATGATACATATGAAATTAAAAAAAACACAATAGTTCAATGCTCTGTCAGATGATGAAAAGTTATTATTATTAGTGCATTAATGATGATTAAGTATATTTTTTTATTGTTAGTTTGTTAGAATATAAACTTTTATGTGATCTGAGTTTAGACCAGTGTGCACTAGGCTAGATTTTATTTTAATATGTAGTACGAA